TGTGGAGAACACCTTCATAAAGGTTGAAACTCCCTAACGTCTGTCGAGGACGAAACCCTCTTTTCCATAATGGCGTCGACAAGAGATATCAGGTACCTGCTTTCGGTTGCAGAAGACACGGGTTCAAAACCCGCTGCTCACCTAATTTTCATCCGGAGTACGGAAAAAGAAAAACGGTGGGTGGGCCAAGAAACGATGCACTGTCTATCGAACTCGAAACTTCTGGCAATGCGTGGCGGAAGTGGCTTACCCGCACACACGCACAGAAGATTGTTGGAAAAAAAGGTGGTTCTACTCGCCGCCAGCCGGTGGGGTTACGGTTAACCCAAGAAGACTTCTCTTGCCTAGCAAACAAGAAGAAGCCTCGAAAAAGGGGGGGGTAATGTGGAGAACACCTTCATAAAGGTTGAAACTCCCCAACGNTATCAACGTCGTTCAACGAATCGGCAGAAATTTCGTAGTCACGAGGGCCAGGAGGACGGTACGGACGATCACTCGGCACATTCCTACAAATCGACGCTAATGTGGAGAACACCTTCATAAAGGTTGAAACTCCCTAACGTCTGTCGAGGACGAAACCCTCTTTTCCACAATAAGGCCTGTTTGTTTGATATGGTTTCGGACTCAATTTCGCCAAATAAACGAGATAACGTATCGGGTACAACGTTTAATTTTCCCGCTACGTGTTTGACGGTAAGTCATAATTTTGAAGAGCGATAGCCCAACGAGTGAGCATGTTGCTGGTGTCTTGCAACTTAAAAGATGAGTCAACGCTTGATGATCAGTGATCACCGAAAAAGTGTTTCCCAAATAAGTACGGTCGCCAACGCGAAACTGCAAGAACCACACCGCAACATTCTTTCATAGACGCAGAGTAATGATGCTGTCCATGTTTGAATCTCTGACTATAATACGCAATCATGTCAAGAGACTCTGGATCAGCCTTGGACGGCTGGGCAAGAAACGCGCCACACCCATGTTCGGATGCATCCACATGAACTACGAATTCCCGATCGAAGTCTGGGAAGTGTAGAACGGGCGCTGAAGTTAATAACCGCTTTTTTAGATGAGCGAACGATGCGTCGTGCGATTTGTTCCAAGCTTTTACGAAACGTGATTTTGTGGCGTACTCTTTGCGAGTTAACTCCACCAACGGATTGGTTATTTCTGCATAATCCGGTATGAACCGGCGCACAAAATTAACCACCCCGAGTACTGAGCGAAGATCTTTCAGGCAACGAGTAGTAGGAAGGTTTTGGACGGCTTTGATGCGATCCTTCCCGACAGAAATACCTTCAGCCGAAATAATATGTCCCAAATACTCGATGGACTTGAGGCCAAACGAAATCTTCGAAGGTTTCAATGTCAGACCTGCTGCTTGGAGAGCTACGAACATGCCCTTCAAAGACGTCATATGATTCTCGAAAGTTGCTGAAAGCACACAGAAATCATCCATGTAAATCAACAATTCAGGAATATGGCCTAACGTTTTATGGGCCATCTCAGAAAAATTCCATGGGGCATTACAGACACCAAACGGCATCCGCTTGTAACAGTACTTGCCAGAGTTGGTGACAAAGGCTGTCCTTTCGACGTGGTCAGGATGAACAGGAATCTGCCAGTACGCTGACTGGACGTCTGCAACGCTGATGAACTTGGCGCTGCCGACAGAGTCAAGGTTGGACTCCATGTTCGCTAGAGGCCAGGTCTTGCGAATGAGGTGCTTGTTGACGGTGCTTCGGAAATCGACGCAAAAACGAGGTTTGCCATCTTTACGCGCGACGAGAGTNTCTGATGTCATCGTCAAACATGTCCTTAACGCACGTTTGGATAACGGCTTCAGTGTGCGGGTTTACGCGGTAGGGACGACGGTTAACCGGTTTTGTGTTAAGCGGCATAGGAAACGTGGCTTGAGCAGTTGTGCATTTACCAAGCTCCTTACGATTCAGCGAAAAAACGGGACGATATTTTGCGCACAGGTCCAAAATACGAGTCTGCTGTTCCTTAGTGAACGTGGAATTTGCGAACGCTTTCGACAGCGGTTCTACCAGCTCAGCTTTAGCAGCAGCAATTTCACTCGCGGTTTTTGGAGACAAGGCAACAGCATGGACGTGAAGCTGTTCCTGTGCTACCATAGTAATCGGCGATAAAGTTCCAATATCCAATCCAACATGTACGGCGAGATACTCAGCTGATGGATTCGCAATTTGGACAACTACCGAACCATCAACAGCACTCCATGTTGAGACGGTACGAGCCACGATTAAACGCTCAAATTCGGGCGGAACAGTATCGGACGAAAGTTCATCTGCCGACAAAATACGCGGGTCGACTACTACGGCGGTATCAACGGACGGTATGCATTCAGTAAATGCTTTTACGATCATCGCATGACGAGGGCGAATATTATAACGTTGACGTAATTTGACTGAGTGTTCTTCCGCATTTCGATGAACGGCTGCAACACGGGGGGACGGCGACGGATCATAACCGTGTTGAGATTTTTTACGATGAATAGCGGGGACGATAGTGTCACTACACTCAATAGTCAAACGTTCATTTTTCCAGTCAAGTACTGCCCCAAACCGAGTCATTGCCTCATTGTCCAGGAGTATTTGATCAGGACCGAGCGATGGTACGACCAACGCATCGATTCGGCGGGACACGTCTCCCAACCGAACAACGAACGAAATAAATCCTAAAACTTTGCTTGGTGCACCATTTGCGGCACTGAGTTTTAGGGACGGAGACGGTATTGGCTCTAAAAGAGCAAACGATAACGATGGGTCAACCCATTTTGCCACAGAGCTACTCTGTCATGCAATTCCAAGCGGTACGACTACCATCACGCTCGACGGCAGCTTGCAACCGTGCCATGACAGTACGGAACCGGAGAGCATACGAGGAAACAGGTTCCTGTGGCCTTGAACGAACTTTACGAGATGGTGTGCCTCCTCCTCAACGGGATTTGCGGGAAGAAGTGAATCAAGCAAAACAGAACACATGGCATCCCACGTGGTCGGAGGGGGAAACGACCCTTTTTCCTCCGGTTCTGTGAACGTGCTTGCCTTAGAACAGTCTATCTGTCCAGACAAGATCTGCTGTGTATCAGAGTCAACACTTCTCCTGTTCCCACCAGGGCAACGTGCTTGAGTGCAACCCCATCAGCATACGACGAATCCGTGTTGACAACTGCGGCTTTCAGCCCAACCACCGTACGAAAATGTTTCAAGATTTCGATCACGTTTTCTGTACGGTCTCCAGTCAGCTTGGGAACGCTGCGGAGGTCAGCCGCGGATATTGAAACGGTAGCTGCTTGTAGAAACGTACGAACGGGGGATTCGGTCGCTACAGCAGTCGATGCCACCTGTGACATTGAAGTAACAGGTGGTGTGACGACGGACGATTGCGCATTCATAGATGCAACCTGTGCTGTTGAAGTAACAGGTGACGCTACGATGGACGATTGCGCACTAGTAGGTGCAACTTGCAATGTTGAACTAGCTGTAGTTGCACTACTAGACGTACACGACACCGAAGTAGACGTGTTGACGGGCGCAGTGAGCGACGGACTCGGCGAGGGATTTGATCCACTCGTTGCCTGCGCGGACGGAACGAACGATGGTGCTCCAGGGGACAACGGTGTCAGCCTGGGCAACGACGGAGCTAAAAACGGAACGCTTGAACTTACCGTTGGAGTTTAAGTTGCACTCGCTCCACGAGACGAGGCTCCACGAGACGACGTAGCTGACGCTGTTGCGACAGACGATGAAGCAGGCACCGACTCCGTTAGGAGACGCTGCTGCCACGCGAC